TTCTTTCACTTACTAGTGTGTGAGCCTGTTCATCATTCTGGCTCAGTTTCTATACTTGTGAAATGAGAATAATCGCACACCTTCCTCATGGTGTTGTTTTGAGAATGAAATGAGCTAATAAATGTAAATCATTGACAGTATCTGACCGGAATACAGAAAGCACTCAATAAATGTTAGCTATCAGTATGGGCTAATACTAATGCAAATTAGTATTTCCATTAGTATTATCTGATGATTAATATCTGATTATTTCTTAGTACACCCAGTAACATCCTAAAGAACCCTGTCCCATGGAATAAACAAATGCTAGTATAGAAAGACCTTTATTATCCAAAGAGAAATCAGTGCCCTCACTAGCAGAAAAAAGCACTACAAACATGTCAGTTTTAGTCTCTAGCATCCACTTAACCTCCCTGGAAGTCTCCCTATCTATCAGAGTAAGACTGTTAGAGTAGTTAGTCCTTCTAGCTATAATAGGCTAGAATGCTAAGAAAAATGCATGCTTGTCATGAAGACCAGTAGGTCTTATTCAGTCCTGGTTCCAATCTGCTTCCTTTTAAAATTTAATTTGGAGATATGGTCTCACATTTTGTTCAGGCCAACCTGGACTATGATCCCTCCAACACAGCTGAGATAACAGGCAAGTGACACCACACCCAGTTTTTATCCACTGAGATTTGATCTCACAAACTTTTTTTGACTGGGCTGGCCTGGAACTGAAATCCTCCCAATCTCAGCCTTCCATTTAGCTTGGGAAGACAGGTGTGCACCACTCTTGTCAGCTAATGATTAAGATGGGGTATCACAAACTACCTGCCTGGACTGGCCTCAAACTATGATCCTCCCAATCTCAGCCTCCCACAAGTGTCAGCCACCAGCACCTGACTAGTTCCCTTTTATTATTATCATTATTATTAATATTACATAATAGTGGGTTTCATTATAACATTTTCATACTTGCATGATATGTATTTCAGTCATATTCACCCCTATCATCCTCTCACATCCCTTTCTCTCCTCCCATTTGTCCCCTCTTTCTCCTACAATTGACTCTGCCTTGCTTTCATGTCTTTCAAAAAAAATTAAATCTAGATTTCACATATAAAGAAAACACACCATACTTGTCTATCTGGTTCCTCTTGAAGTTTTACTTTCCACCTTATCAGATTTGAAGTTGTCATTGCAAGACTTCAGGTTAGGAGCCAGGTGCTGTCCATCAACATGGATATGGAAATGGCCTTCTGCTACCTCACCTTAGAGTTCTGAAGTATGTAGAGTACAATAAAGCAGCAGCAATAATGGAAGTAGCATGTTGTATCCTGCCCACTCCACAGGAGTCCTCTGAATCCCCTCTGTACCAAAGCTGAGCCATCATTCTAGATGCCCCTGCTGTGGTCTGCAGGGCCCACAGGAGCCCAGTCCTATACACTAGTCGCTTTGCTGATTTGATTCTCATCAGCTCTTTCTAAGGGCTGAACTCTTTTTCAATTCTAATTTGTACAAAGTTCTAGGCTGCAATGTCAATGCAGATACCCATCTGTGCTCATTTTTGTTGACAAATCTCAAACCCTGACCTTGCCTGGAGTCCAGCCCTGTTCCAGCAGAGGAAGGGCTACTGCTTTTGCCCCTGAATGCCTCTTCTTCCCTCTAGCTCAGTCTTAGATTTCTCCAATGCCCATGCCATGCTGCCTGCATTTTACTTGTGCATTCATCTAACCCTCTAGTATTTTTATTAACTGCTTCCTACATCCAGGTGCTGTTCTAGCTTGTTGATGCAACATTGAGCAAAAACAGACATTCGCCCTGTTCTCACTCAACACACGTTATTGTAGAGGAAAAAGATAAATAAATGAACACAATCACTTCAAATAGTGGAAAGTACTAAGAGGGAAAAAGCAAGGTGATGTTATAAAGTAATGGTGATGGGAAGAGGAGGACTCAGAGAGGAGTCAGGCTAGGCCTCTTGAGGAGGCAACAACCCAAGCTGAGACTTTAAAAAAAAGAGAAGCCGGCCATGCAAAGACCTGGTGCAGAGTATTCTCCCAGTAGCAGAGAGAACAGCCAGTACAAAGACACTATGGCCAGAATCAGCTTGCAATAAGGAGGGGAAAATTAGGACAGTGTGATGGGAGCAGAGTGAATGAGAGGGGAGAGTGACCAAGGGATGAGGTCAGAAAAGGAGGCAGGGTCAGATGTTGCCCAGCTTTACAGGTCAGGATGAAGAGTTTGTCTTTTATTCTCATTGCAACAGGAAGCCATGGAAAGATTTTAAGTAGAGAGTTACACAGTAAGGAATTACAAGTTCATCCCTCTTCTTGGGGCCACGGCACCTATAGTACATATATGCTTAGCAATATATCAGAGATTCTCAACTAAACCCTACATTCTATTTGCAGATAATCACACCAGGGATATTATGGTACTGTAACAGAGTGGAAGCTAAAATTGTGGCCTAAAAGAAATATTACAATGTAATTTAAGAAGGCAGAATTTCATATATGTTAATAGCTCTCATTAATAAGATAAATCCCTCCCTTTGGAATTTGGCAGTGATTACTCAAGTAGGAGTGGCATTTGAATCCTAAAATATATAGTTTTACAGAAAAAGAAGCATTGCTCAGAGTGACTGCCTGGGCCTGGAAAGTAAGAGAATTGGAAATGTAAGGATGGTATCTATAACAAGTGTCATTCTACTGTGTTACAGCTCTTTAAAAAGATGTGCAGTAAAGTGAGTTTCCAATTAAAAAAATAATTTTCAAATGCAGTCAAAATTAGTGGCCCCATCCTCGCAATTATAATAAATGATTAAGTAGGTGTTACAAAGATGAGAAGGTAGAATATCTGTTTCTAATCCTGACAGACACTTTACCCATTTTCACTGATCTTTTATCTGGAGCAAAGACCTGCTGAAACAAGCTAACTACTAGAATGTTCTGATAAGTGCATCTTTCCAGGGGAAATAGCAGGGAGGAAACTTCAGCAGACATTGTTCACAAGATTCTGCAAGTTTCTTTGTACCTTTGAAGTTGGGAAAGTATATGTGCTTCTGATAATAACATTCAGCAGATGGAGTACAATCACCAAGAGAAAGGGACATTAAGCAATGAACATCCAGATGGCTCAGAGAGCTCCTCTGGTTAAAGATGCTAAGAGCATGCTCATGCCAGCAACAGCAGGCCAGGCTTCCTTGTACCCACATTTATACGACTGAGATGATATCCTTAAACTGGGCAAGACCCCTTCTGTCTCACAGAGAAATACCAATTGGTCTTCTCTCAATCCCTCACACTCAGTTTAGATTACTTTTAACTTGAATCTCTTTAAGACTTGTGTTAACTTTGCTTTGTAATAAAATTATTCTCAACTTATATCATATATAGAAGACTGTCCCATCTCCCCATACCATACCATAAAATCCTAGAAATCAGAGTCATCTCTCTTGTGGATCACTTACCCATGGTTTAAAAATTTCAAACAGTACATGAGAGAGAGAGAAGTAAATAAAAATAACTGTTTTCCAACTTTGCTCCCTTGAAATAACCACTGTTAAGTTTCTTGTATTTCCCTCCATAAAAGTTTGGGGTCACAGACTTTTGTGTTAGTTAGTGTTTGATCTATTGAACAAAACTTACAAGAAACAAGGACTGATATAGAATTTTAAATCATTTTGTAGCTCATGGCAGTACACAAATAAACAATGATAAATTATGATAAATTAATATTGTAAATCTCCAATAGACACAAACTGCCTTTAACCCACCATTCATACCCCTTCCATGCCCAGGACGTCAATGAGCATTGCAGATGGGTGGCAGATAGAATAACTCTAGCGCAGGCCTGGGGAGTCGTTTGGCCTCCAGCTCACTGGGTATTCACTGTACCTCTCTGGATCTCAGTTTTCCCTCTTCCACACGAGGTGTTTTGTTTTGTTTTGTTTTTTTAACCATTCTTTTGAGTCCAGGATTAAAGCTGATTGAGTAAAAACAAATACAAAAGACACTCCAAAACCAAAAACTGAACTTTGAATCAGTGCCCAAGTCTCAGAAACAGAAAGCAAATTACAGAGACAACAAATATAATAGATTTCCAAGGGAATATCAATGTAAGTTAGATTGCAACAGTTATTGTTTAATCAATTTCCTGAGATGTACTTCATAAGGAAATCTACCTGTCTTGTTTTGCTACATAACAAAGGTGTACCGAGTCATACACTGCTCTTGAAGTTTTCTTAGGGTACACATACAACTCTCTGGAAGTAGAGTCAATTCACATTTATTCACTTCTCAACAATGCATGTGGCCTTCAAACCAGTATCTGAGGACTTGTATTTTTCCATTGTCATAAGTCACAGATATACTCAATTACATGCAGTAGCTATCAGGTCACAACTTAAGACACTATTTAATATCTTAATTCTCTGTCATCTCCTGTGACAAGTAGCTGGCTACTAAGAAAAGGAGTACTCCTGTTAGTCAGTCTACTTCTGCAGCACTGGACTGTATCAAGAACACAGATATCTAGGGGTGGTGGGGAACTGCTGAGAAGAGAGAGGGAAATGGTGCTGACAGTAGGGAGGCCACCATCCCTACTAAACATCCATGCAGCAACTTGACTTCAAGTTAACAGTAGCAAAGCCACTAATAATGACTGAATATTTATGTTCTAGGGTAAAGGTAGGAGAAGCAAAGTAGCATTCTCAAAGTATCTTTGCCAGGTCTTGCAATTTCTTTCAGAGGCAGGAAAGATGGAGGTTGAGGGAGCAAGTCCTGGAGTTAAGAGAATTATGAGTTCTGCCTGCTACTCAATCCCCTAATCAATTCTGGGTTCCATTTGTTCACATACTTGAAAAGAAACAGGTAAGGCAATACATACATTATGCTTATTATCATTTGAAACTGTGGGTTTCCATGGGCTGTTCCATATGAAAGAATGATCCTTAATAATAAGCAATCACAAGTAAAACAGAGAAATCATATCCTAGTAAAGGAACACTTCCTTACCTGAAAGGAATTCATTTGGCGAAGGGACAGAGGCAGGGCAGCATTGCTCCGTGATAATATCAACAGCAGCTCTAAGCAGGTTGCAGAGGGCAGGGTTAAAGAATGGACACTGAGGTCACTTTCCCATGAGCTGACAAGCCTAGAACACACACATGTTAATTTTCATAAGTGCAATGCCATAACTATTTTAAAAATATGACATAAAAGAAGAAAATTTTCCGTTGTGGGAGAAGAAAGCAACACACAAAAAATAGAAATAAGATATTAAAAATTCACAAAGTAAATGTTTAAGACACTTAAGAGTGTTACTGGTTGAAAGCAGATGAACAAGGCAATTTTCAGGCCACTATTTCATATTCAAAGTACAAGAGTCATAGGAAGTTTGGACTTATTTGTATGGGACTTGTTGGGAGAAAAGGGGGGGCACTAAGGGGTAACACATTAAAAATGTTTTCTGTGGTCTACGTAGAATGTGTTACTTACCCCTCATCAGCCTAAGTGAAGGAACTATTGTTATTCAGATTCTATGGGTACACAAACTGCTTCTGAGCCAAGTAGGTCCTTATAAAACATCTAGTTCAGTGATTTTTCAACTTCTAAAAAGTGACAGGATTCTTTTGCCAAAAAAAAAAAGAAAGAAATTGTAATAGCCCAAACTTATACCAATAAAAGCAAAGCTGCTCTGTTTGATGGAAAGAGTTGGCTGAATACCTCCCTTCATCTTCCAGAGTGGCCCTTGAAGCAGCTCTGTTGGAGCCTGTGGCGCCCATTTGAAAATTCTTTCATTTTAGAGATCAGGAAATTGAGTGCTAGACAAGGAAAGGGACTTCTCTTAGATGAAGATGTACAGAAAGCGATAAGGCTGGGTCAAGAATCCTGGTTTTTCTTACTCCCCATATAATGTTTACATAAAGGAGAAAAACCAGAAATAATACAAGAAAACAATGTTATAATAGGACAGGTCTTGCTTTCAACTCTTCTATTTATTTAAACATTTCTTGTATGATCCACTACCAAAATATCTCTTACCACTGTTCTAAAGTTTAAAAAGAAATACTTATCAAAATATACTTATATATTTACTTTATAAACATGTGTACTCTTTTGCCTTTTCTGTGCACCTATTTGTGCAAAGATGACTGCCCAAATCAGTGCTGAATAGAAGTGGCTTGGGACCCTTAGCAGCTGAGGGCTTAACCGATCTTAACACTTTGTACCATGAGTCATGACAGAATGGTTTAGCTGGATCACCAAGCAAGTTATTTATTATGCTGATACATTTTCCACATGGGTGGCAGAGTTAACTCTGCTCTGAAGCATTTGCCAATTAGCTGGACTGGAATAGACATGGCTCACTTTCCTAAAAATGATCTGATTTCAGCAAGGACACATTTGTCTTCTCTGTGTTTTAAAAATTATTGTTTTATATGGACTGGCTCACATTCTTTCTGCTTTTGACCATTACATAACATTCTCAACATTTCTCTGGAATAGAAATAAAAATGCTGCTGTCTTTTCAAAATTCCAAACTTAATTCCAGTACAGTTGGCTTGAAGCTCACTCTCCACCCCCCTTCCTTATGCCCTCCATAAGCCACATAATTGCTTTCCATCCTCTGCATAGCATTACAGTATATGATCTGTGGCTGGCACAGACAGCTTCCTGGATCTAGAAGGTAGTTACCCTTCCTGGTGAACCTCTACTCATCCTGTAAGACCCACCTAGGTATAATTTTCTTAGAGCTATCCTGTTTCTTTTTGCCTAATAACTTATTTATATCAATTATGATACTTATAACTGTCCTACTTGTATTCTCATTTGGAATATGTTCACATCTCGAATCCTCCTAGATCAGACATGAGTGAATTTCCTCTAATTGTACAGTCTTACTTAGAAATAAAGATTAGAAGTTGCCTCAAAGTTGCTCATTTTTTTTTGAGACATAATCAGGTGTTAACCTTTTACTATTAAAAGGAAAATTCCCCCTACTTATATTTATGTTTAAGAAACAACTTAAGTTTTCAGAATTTATACCCTCAACCCCACCACGCACAATACAGCTAACTAAAGCTATTTTCATTCTGATTTTTTCTTTCTTTTTTCAGGGCTGAACTCAGGTTCTTGCACTTGCTAGGCAGGTGCTCTACCACTCCACCAATCCTGTGTGTTGGTTAGGTTTCAGATAGGGTCTCACTTTATACCTGGGCCAGCCTAGACCGCAATCCTCCTAGGTGCTTACCACCTAGCTGGTGATGACAAGCACACACAACCATCCTCAACCATTAGTTGGTAGGGGGTCTTGCAAACTTTTTCCCTGGGCTGGTCTCAATTACAATCCTCCTGATCTCTACCCTTCAAGTATCTGATTTTTAAAAAAATATAGAAAAGGTTTTTGTTTTTTCTGAATTAGATCTCAGCAAAGGCCACTCAGTACTACCCTGGATTGCAATACATTTTCCATGTGGGTGGCAAAAGAATCTCTAAAGCCTAACCCAGGCTCAGTAAGCTTCAGACCTTCAACAGGGGTATTTTGAGATGATGTGAACATTGCAACGTGGTCTGGGGCCCGATGGGTTGTTGTCTCCTACAGCAGCTCTAAAAAGTAGGCATTGTTCATTCCATTTTAAAAATGGGAAACCAGAGGTCAGAGAGACAGTGGGTAAGTGGTAGAACTGAGATTCAATCAGTGAGCCTGAGTCCAAAGCCCATTTTCTCCCTATCATTCCACAGGGACCTCTGAGGGCAGTACACATATTATTATCCTCCCAAGCAAACCATAAGTATGACCTTGCTAAATGCATCTGCCAATGCCTATACCTTGTATATGTTAACGCTTTAGCTTGCAAAGTATATAGGTAAAGAGTGCTTTCATTTTTCAGTAGTAAGAAGTTATCCTTTTCAAGAACCTACTTTATTAAATAACTATTCCAAACTTGAATAAGAAAGGAAGTAAGATGGCCACAGGAAATACTCAAATGCTGTGATAAGTAAAAAGGAAGCAATATAATATTTATCAATGGTCATTTCCATTAGTGGGAAATAATAGCCTGTTTGTTACATTTTCTTCTTTATGCTTTTTTCCAGTGTTACTTTCATAATCAGAATATAAGTTAATATTATGACATTGATATGACTTCTGGTTCAAAAGGAATTTGAAATACTGATTAAAGGTTTCAACATTCAGCTAAATGGCTATGGAATGACCCATTGAAAAGGACTCTTAAATAGAAATTAAAATACATTAGTACTCACTGCCCTGTCACTCAACAGCAAGTAAACTTGGACAACCATTCTGCAGCCCGATTTCCTCAGAAAACCTTGAATTAAATATCTAACCCATCTAATGTGTCAAACTGTAAAAAATTATATAGAAGTATGTTGTTAAACTAATGATGACCAGAGCCACAAAGAAACAACAGTTAGTTAGCCATCTCTATAATTATGAATATTTGCATATTTTTCAATTTAATACTTAAAACATTCTGTGATTTAACAATCTTCTTATTGAAGCTCATAAAAGTAAAGTCTATTGTCCCAATCACATCCAATAAGTGATGGAAAAGAAATTCTAGCAAGATCCTTCCCAGCTAAATTCCACTCTTTTCACTGTATCATGAACCAGGCAAAAGTAGATATTATTTAACTAATTCTATCCAAAAGACTGCAAATCCCTAAGGCAAACAACAGGGTCAATTATAAGTATCTTAAAACCCCTCATTTTTAAATAATATGAACAACCTTCATTTGTGTGTATATAATTAGACAAACCAGCTGGACTTGATATGGCTAAAATTTCTAATCTTCACTGCCCTGTTGTTTTATTTTTCATTATTCTAGGACCTATTTTTTAATGTTAAAATTTACAAATTTCTCTAATTTTAATCATATAAAATATTATTTTAACCACATGAAAAATTTATACATGTGGACATTTTTCACAGTAACATGTGAAAAATGAAAGTCATTGCTCAGCAGAATAAGAACTCTGGGCAAATTTCCTCTAAAACTTTCTCTGTTATTTTCACATTATTGTTAAATTTAGAAGGAAAGAAATATAAGACAGTGAAAAGGAGAAATGGCTTGGCATTCTTAATATTCAGTTTATATTAAAACAATCACTAAAGTCATTATGTAGAGTTTAGGGTCTGCTGACAAAGTCAGAGGTGCCACTTGCAACTATCCACCCAAGCTCAAAGATACCTGTTAATGACACAAACATTTTAAGAAACACAGGACAGAATCTGGAATGTTTCAGGAATTTCCTGCAAAGACACCATAGACTATTGGACCAAAATCATTAGTCTTCCATTATAAAACAACAAGAAAGGTACTTCAAAGGGAACAATGAACAAAACATCAATTGAAACCTATTTCCATGAGTTGTTAGGGAAGGAAAAGCTTTCCTAAAAGACCAGAACTGTCAGCCAGGTGACCTTAGTCTAGGAGACTAAAATGAAAACAGAGGACACACCATCCTTGTTCCTAAACTTTTGCCTTAAGAAAATTCCCTAGAGAAGTAACTATGGCTTGTATGTTTTGAAAGATGAAATGAGAATGGGACAAAGTCACTTTCTATCACTTCCAACAAAAATGGTGAGATTGAGAATGATTCAAACCAATCAATAGCAAGAAAATAGGAAGGTGATAGTCTTTTAGTAAACACAGAGGTCACTTAATGTGATAAAGGTTGAAATGACAAGCAGAAATGATATAGTTACTCAATACTAAAAACTGAAATATTTAAAAGGCGTCCAACATATAGCATAAAAGAAAAAAAAAGATATAGTATAGAAGAACTCATGATAGGGAAAATTTAACTTAAATCTTGTTTCTTGTATTTTAGTAGGCAATGTGGACTCTTTAGTCCTGAAAGAACCAAAGAATGCAAACAGCCTACTAAAGATGTTGAAATTTATGCCTGTAGATTTTAGAAATTCAATTTAAAAGCTGTAACAATGATAAGCCCATTAATTTAAGCTCTCAAAAACAGCAAAACAGACAAATAACCACAACTTAGCACTGGAATCATAAATATACAACTGTGTAATATATAAGTTGCAAAGTAAATAAAATTTAAAAATTCTTATGAGTCATTCTCAAGAACACAAAATTATAAAACAATTAAATGTATTGGTATGT